GGAACATTCCCAAATCGTTACCAATTCATGACCTTGTTCTCGAATGTAGCTTTCAATGTTTTTCGTAGCATTCAGCCGCTCATCAAAGGACTTCCAACTTTAGCAGGAGTTTTGCGGTCATATTTCGTATCACTGAAGCAATTATTGCAGCCGTGATAAAAACATCCATGATACTGATAAACAGTATTTGTCGTCCTGAAAACACATTTCGTTAGTTTGTTAATGCAGTTTCAATTTGATATTACTGCTACGAAACTAACGACATTAAGTTTTTAAAAATACTCGCATACTCACGTACCTGTGCATTATAATAAAGCGAAGTGATTTGCATTCAGTAAGCTCTAAAATAACTTACTTGCAAAATCCATCCACTCGTATTTTCTTGCTGCCTACTTGATACTCAGAACCGTTACGAGCGTGCTGGATATGGATATTTTCCTTATCCTCAATAGAAGATAGCCAATGCGTAGCCCCATAGGATTGATTTGATGGGTATTCCTTGGTAAAACCATTAATAGCCTGGCGTCTCAAGTACATTCCACAAGGACAAGCTTCAGCCATGCACTCTGAGAAAGTTTGACTAATGTTAATTCTGTAATATATTTATAATAGTACTACTAGTAAAGAGGTATTCTAAGAAGATTCTTGTTATTTTGATATACATTATACACCCCTTCTCATTTAACACTCAATCAAATTTCCTATCATTCAGCTGAGTCGACCGAGGAGATTGCATTATCGCATAGATCCAATGGATCCTTAGCTACTCCCTGGACAAGGTGACACTAGAATTCGAACCCTGAAATTTCTGCATAGGCAGAAGCTCTAACAACTGTGTCACCTAACCATCCGTAGTATTTGACGTGAAATGCTCCGCATATGGTAATATCTGACCCGTTGAACCGATTTTGATTGTCGATAAGTAGACTGACAGTCAATATCCGATAATAGTACTAGCCACTAGGTATCGACCTGGCACTACATGAAAACAATACCTTAACTTTTAAAGCTTAATAACTTATAAATTGCGTGATATGACACAAATCATGGATATTACTTACTTAGATAAAGTGCATTGGCATCATATCCCAGTATTCTCGCGCAGTAAGGACCGTCTGGATCATGTCGAATCTTTGTCTTGCCTGATAAAACATAAAACTCTGGTATACTTCTACTACGTAAATATAAGTCATTCTAACTCTAAAATCGACGTTATTTTCGAAACATACCGACGATAGAATGAGCTATAACTGCTAGATCCTGCAGGAAAAGACATATCAAGTGTACTTACCTGTTTCCTGAAATCTATCAAAAATAATGGCAGGACCTCCAACCAGATTATCTCTGAAAAGCTTGACGAGATCCTTATTCTTTTTGTTGAACAGAAAGAATGTTTCGGCTTCCTCGAGAGTCTGGAAGGCTATCCGCTCAGCTATCCCTGGTGCTAAAAACATGGACATTGATTATCTAGAAATTCAACAAATTGAACAGTAATGACTTCATTCTCGTGTTTAAAATTATTGGTGTATAAGCTGTCTAAATTAACGATTTTCTTACCTGATACGGCATCCTTAAACAGATCAACATTTCGATCCGTGTAATATATGGACATATTCTCCAACGCTCGGATAAAAGGTTCAACATCAATGTTGTTGTAGTAAACAAGATAATCTCGGATAGACCAGTCTCTCTCGTCGAAGATAGTCTTGAGATTATCATAACGCTTTTGTCCAATCGTTTGAGTCTCCGATTTTGTTATCGGTTCAGATTTTGTAGGACTACGATTGATCCACAAAACCTCTTCATCTGTAATTTTCTGTTGACCGACAGATGGTTCTAGCATATTTGCGTTCTTGAGGGAGGAGTAGAAGGCAGAATAACAAGGAAATTCTTTAGAATCAAGCTTTGACAGACAATCTAGAAACTCGTAGGGAAAGAACGATTTGGCAGTACTAGCAGCTCCATATGCCTTGATAAATGAGTCATAGTTAAAACCTGGGGCTATGTAGTACGTCGCATCCAGAAATTTCAACTCTTCTGTTGCTATAACCATGTACCCAGTCCCTTTCTTGATCACAAACTTGACAGAGTCAAGCTGTGTCAATAGGGGAGCTAACTCAGACCTAAGGACTTTCAAATCATATCTTGCTCCATTAAAACTCAGAACAGGAAGTTGACTGAGGTAAGATTCGAACTTATCCTGCAAAGGTGAATTTTCAAGTTGCTCCAAAACGTCAGCGAATTTTTCTTTTAAAATCATGGTTGATGTTTCACTAATTTCAAGCAGGTAGTCAAGCATGTCTTTAACCAACTTCTTTTGCTCACCTTCTTTTTCAAGTACAAAACACTGTGGTTTTTTGAAGCCTTTCACATTTGAGCACACGGAGATTGACACAAGTTCATGCTCTGCAGAATACTCTATCTTTTCAGAGCTCTCTCGACCCGTATTTTTAATCATACATTCGATGTCGAAAGCAGCCAGATATGGAAACTTTCTGTTTTCTTTTGGAACCTGGATGCCTATCGACTCTAACTCATCAAAGATAGTAGGTTTTATAGTGAATACCCCACTTCCATAGTACTCCTTCACACCTCCCTCACAATTTTTAATGTGACGATGGAAATTGCCAGAATGAGACCAGATCTTATCGCACTTCTTACATCTGTAGGAGTTTGAATACAAGTTTAGGTCCTTGACGAAACTAAAGTGGTCCTCATGAAGATGAAGATTTAATACTTTTTCGCTGTCAAGTGTGGACCGAAATATCAGGTCTGTATCACGATTTTCCTTTTGTGTGTAAACATTGATCGCAATGTTGAAGATTCGGGATATATCTTCAAGTTGTTCAAGGAATACACCGTCAAAGTTTGTAATTGAGGCTTCTGTACAGTACTTTTTTAAGAGTCTGTTTGTTGCTCTTTCCAAACCGTTTAGAGGCGTGTTAAGGAGTAACGCCAAACACCTGAAGAAGCATTTCTTATCGGCGTATGGTTTTCCCCTTTTATCCTTTGTCAAAGCATTAAGACCCTTGTTTTTTAGAAGATGTGGCGGTAGTTCAACAGAAGATCCTATTGCTATTCCTGGTAGCTTGTAAATGAAGAACTCAACATTAGTCACCTTAACAAAAACCCACTCAGTATTCGGACGTTGGACTTTACTAATGAGAGAAATACTTTTCAGCGATCGGATGAAAGCGTTTTTATCCGTAGAGTTACGAATAAGACTTGGTTTCAGAAATAGGAGTTGATTATTTTGTGAACTCCAATTGAATCTGTACTCTCCAGAAGTCTTATGCTGAAGAATCAACCCCATGGACAAGTTCACCTTAAAAGCGTTTTTCTGAGCTCTAAACACTTTCTTAAATAAATGAACCAACTCACTCGGACTAAAGCTAGAAACTTGAAAGTTATAGCGGTCCATCAACCTTCCTAACTTAACTTTTGTACCAATGTACTTTCCAAAGTTCTTGTAGACATCACCGTACTCGGACTCCTCTTCTACTGATTCCTCTAAAGGACTTGTTGTTGACTCGATAGAATCAGCATGGTGGAATTGGAGATTCAGATCCATCAAGTGCTCACTATTGTGCTCCGAAAATAGATTTGACTGAACATTAACACCACAGATTTCACACCTTATTCGACAACGAATACTTTTCTGATGACGGTCGAGATGATCATTTCGGGTCACAGAACCACATCGATCACAGGTCGTTATCTTGTGCTGAAATTATATCCATTTACCACAAAACTAGAAACATGGTAAATATAAGAATTTTAGCGATGATTGTTAGTATAGTGATGATTGTTAAGTAAATTTTAATTGTTGCCGTTTGAATATAAGTACAAACATGAATATTAGTACAGACAACACTAGTAATTGACAAACAAGCTGCACGTAGTTCTTAAACTTACCCGATTTGTAGAAGAGCTCCTTGTGATATTAACATCCTGATGTTCATGTTGGTCGTTATGTTCATTGTCTACAGTCTGAAAGTCGGGAAAATGTCATCAAGAATTATTTACAGATTTAATGTTATTGACTAGATCTAAACATTATCGTGATCAATTACGTTAATTGTTACTCAGTTTAATCTGAATTTGTTAAGTTAATGATATTCATATAGTTGTAATTCAGATATCCGACGATATGATATCTTTATAAAGATAATGTAGGAATAAGAAATGTTGAAGTTTCACTCACAGACGTTGGAGTTTCTCTGGAAGAATTCGTGTTGTCATCTTTCAGCCAAAACTCTGCTCCACTTCTGCTTTCTTCGGAACATGCGTGCTCTCTTAGCTCGATATCCGACTAGGGAACCCAGATATCATTATTAATTGTAGAATGAAATAGTAACTGTAAGCTAAGAACTTTTATTGACACTACAGACAATTTGTTTTCCACTTACAAATACAGCTGCGAGTTAAGTTAGTAATTATTTTATCGAATGAAATCAAATAAATGTCACCATTGCACAAAAACCGCATTCTCTGCATTCTCCAACGCGTCGCCTCTGTTTCTTCCTAGAGGGAGACAATTGACACTGAGGTTCAGTCCCCTCTCCGCCCGAATTCATCATCAAGCCAACCCCCAGAAAAAGAAGAGCCCATCTTTTAAGGCGACAGTATTTCATGGACTAGTGTACTAGTATCTTCCTGTGAGAATAAATCAGATTGCTACCGTTAGATAATAGAACGTACATCAAGACTTTGTATTAGGAAAATTGAGGTGGAACCACGACAAGTCAACGTGTGAAAAATTAGTTGGAAATGAGTAAATGGTAAATCATAAGACATATAAATATATTTATATAATTTCGACGTAAAGTTTTAAGACACGATGTTGTACTTGTAGTTGTAAAGAAGAGAGTCTGGTCGACCGAAAAGATGAATTATAATGATCTTTTAAAACTTACAATTTCAACAATTGTTCTAAAATACTATGCTGATATACTATAACAGCTCAAATACAACAAAGCAGAATCGTACGAACCTTGAGAGTAAGATTAAACAAAACAACTTTGATCCAGATTAAACGTTAATAGATATCACTTACCTAAGACCTCAAGATATGAAGAAGGAAGAGACTGTCCACTTCCAGTAAAACACGCACCTGTTCGCAATTATACCTTATCAAGTAATCAAACAAAGACAAACACTGATCGCACTAATGTCATGAGGGACAGTCCTCTAAAATTGAGGTAAGAAACATACAGAGATAAATGTTACGCAACATACAACTGAAAGCTAAATAGTAGTGAGATAGTGTAAGCAAAGTTCCAGGTGTTGTCCTGAAACAGTACACTAAATTTAGATCAAAACACATTAGACATTATTTCACCTCATCAGCACACTGTACAAAGGTCGATGCGTGCCAGATGTTAACATTGTTTCAATGTGCCCATCGTCGATCGCAAACTATGGTCGTACTCATCTCAATGCAATATTGATGTTACGTGAACGTGTACACTATATACATTTAACGACTTCTGCTGTGTGAAGAATGTGTTTAGTTGATACATCTGTATTGCATAATGTAGGGTTAAGTTAGATACAAATTGAATAATGGGTTAAACTAGGTTAAAATGTGTACAATAATAATATAATCAATTTGGAGAACGACTCTGACTGGGATTCGAACTTGTAATCTCCGGCTAAATATCTGGCAGATTAGTCAAATGTGCTAAAGCTAAATGTGCCCCAATTTTTGGGGTAAATACAGCTCGAAAAACTCCCATTAAACTACTGAGGACCCCAGGCTTTAATGTTGGTAAACATTATAGAGATTAGGCGGAATGACAGGCTGAGCGCGGCCCAGTAAGGATCGGGAAAAAATTTCACGTGACTTTGCTTTTTATGGTTTTTCAGCCGTACAAAACGGTTTTACATAAACCCTAATCCCAACCCTAACCTCGAAGCTATCTATAACCCTTACCACAACCCTAACCCTAACCCGAGCCCTAGAAACAATCGAATTCGTATTTGTGATTTTACTAGCCTGTCACGTGACCAAAAGGGTTCTTTGCCTATAACTCTCCAGGGAAGCATTTTAGCCCTACGTCATGGGGGTGATTCGGAATCAGCGTCCAAAAATACACCGATTTAGATCACTTTCATGCCCAATGGGCCTTTTCACAAGAATTTTCTTAAAATTTGGGGAGCGATTTAGTAGGTGGTAGGAGCGTTCTCGTGCACTCCGGCCGGCCGCCGCGCGCGAAAAGGGGTTGCAGCGTGTGTCAATCCCTTCATGTATCACGTCGGGGGCAGCACAGAGACAAAGGTCGACTTTCCTTCTGTCCAATCTCACTCAAAGAAGAAGCGGCAGGAAGCAAAGAAGAAGAAAAAGAAAAGCCAAAGGAGCTCCTGTGGCGTGCCTTATGCCAACAGCCAACCACAAACCAACTGCTCACGACATCATTGAACCTGGTGGGCAGCCCACTGAAAACATTTTCGAGAAAGTTGTGCCATCAGACCTTTACCCGCCTCAAAAGGACCGCCTGGCGAAGACGGAATGCAGCAACTGTTCTGAGCTCAGGACGGCAGTGACTGTGCTGCAGGAAAGCATCTGCACCATTAAAGAAGAGATGCTGCAGCAAAAGGCACTATCTGATCTGATTGTATCATCCCCAACAATCTCAGATAAAAACATGGACCGTATCGTCAAAAGCAAGGTTAGCCCGCTGGAGGACAAAGTGAGACAACTTAGGGTTGACCTCAATTTGCTCAGGGATGCAGTTGACGAACAAAATAGAACCCTCGAGATCATAGCCAACAGAGAGATTCAATCACTACAGGAAGTTAGAGCCGAGGTCGCAGACAGCGTCAAAACGTCCGAAAAAGTGAGTAACACCTCCAAGAGGCGATTTGAAGATCTAGAGCTCGAGCAAGATAAACTGAAGAAAGCTCTTAGAAGCACGGTAAGTTCTGCTAAGAATGAAACGATCGCCTCAATCGATTCGCTTAGGAACGAGTTCAACAACGCTTTTCAGTCACTTGACACTGTAAGCTCATCTAACAGGACAAGAATTGAGGCCCTTGAGACTAACCATGAGAATGTAGCAATTGTCCTTGCAAATGACGTACAGCCCGTTGTAACGCATATAAGCAAACCTGACACTGCTACCCGGGACGTTCAAAGGAATGGTCCGAATGCAACAGGAACCCCTACCTGGGCCTCAATATCGGCAGCTAACAGCGGAAATCCGTTTACAAAAGCAGACAAACGTAACAACAAAAACCACCGTGAGAGAAAACCGAGCCAAAGTGAGCGGCTACAAAACGGCAGCAGAGGCAATCAACGCACCAACTCACCCACTGGTGGGGGACAAGACGGGTCTCAAAATGGTAGCCGCATGACAACTGTCCTGAACGAACAAGCTCAAGAAGAGCGCCTAGACAATTCTCTAAATGATAGCCGCATGCCTCATCGGCGTGAAGATCATGTACCATCCTCAACTTCACAATCTCGGGAAGTCGGACCAGGCACAGGAACTGGAACCAGGAACTCTCATATCTATCGTAGGCACACGGTACTTCTCATACACGATAGTAACTTTGACAAGTTCAATCCACGTAGTTTCAGTTCTCAATTCAATGTGCACCAATTCGGGGCATCAAGTCTCGAAAACCTAGCAAAGAAACGAAAACAGCTCAACGAGAAGTTGAATAAGCTACGACCAGACTGTATTTACGTTCACCTGGGTATCAACGACCTTACGAAGAGGAAATGTATCCCATCTGGAGCTATCCACGAACTCGCAGAGTATCTCCTGGAGACCCGCAAAGCTCAGATATGTTTCTCCCTTTTCATTCCAACCTCTAATGACAAGAAAATGAACGAGCGAATCAAAGCTGTTAACAACGAAATTAAAAGCAATGTTAGCTGGTTCCACAGACATAGCGAAACCGCTCGTACACGCATATTCACGTTTGCTAACGACCGGGTTGGCAACCAGAACAGTTATTCTATCAACACTGGATTTACCCTAAAAAACAGAGGTGAAAAAATGCTCTACGTCAGCCTTCGTGAAGGACTTAAGAAGACGACGCGCATTCCTCACCAGAGCCACGATGGAAATCCTCGTCAAAAAAGCAGCTCGAACCGTTTCAAAGATGAGTAAAAACCGGGACACACGCAATTGCCTTAGGCTGATGAGCTGGAACATCAACCATCAGCGTGACAAGTTTGAAGGTATCAAATTTGAAATCGATGAAGTTCAGAAGCTCCTTAACAGTCACGACGTTATCTGCTTGCAAGAAACTAAAGGGCAAGTTTCTTTACGTGACTTCAAATGCTTCAATGCTAACAGGACAGGAACAAACTCAGGCGGTGTATGCACGGCGATTCATAAACACCTAGCAGCTGGAGCTGTTAGAGTCCACGTACCAGATTGTGACGACATACTCATCGTCAAGCTAAGAGCCAAATACTTTAATCTTGACAAGGACCTAAACCTTATCAATGTATACGACTCGCCAGCACACGGTTCGTATAAAAACGTATACGTTCGAATACCGAGGAATACATCACTACTTGCGAACAACTTGAGGAGTGCCTATCCAGGATTCCCGACACAGAAGATGCCGCCATACTTGGGGATATGAACGCACGGACCGGTACTCTGAAAGATTTTCTTATTCCCTGCGAATCTAGGAATATACATGTCGATCTCGACCCTCCTCAATTCATAACAGCCTTGACACCAAGGAACAATCAGGACCGAACTTTGAATTCGAATGGCAAACCGTTCATTGAGCTTCTCCAAACAGCAGGGATGATAATTCTCAATGGAAGGACTATTGGAGACGCTTAGGGAAGTTGGTCGTTTAGCTCCGGACAGTCTATGCAACGTCTATGCAACGTCCGTGCAACAACAAAAGAACCGTCTATGCAACGTCTATGCAACGTCCCTGCACAATGAACACTCTATGCACACTCCCTGCACGGTCAGTCTATGCAACGTCTATGCAACGTCTATGCAACGTCTATGCAACGTCCCTGCAACGTCCCTGCACAGTACCATATGAACACCGGCTACTAGCCGGCTACTAGCCGGCTAGTAGCCACTTTTGTAATAACAGCTCCTCAACTTCACATTAACAACCGGCTACTAACCGGCACTTGAAAAGTGGTCACTAGCCGGCTACTAACCGGCTACTAGCCGGCTAGTGACCACAAAGTGGCTACTAACCGGCTACTAAGCGGTCACTAGCCGGCTATTAGCCGAGCTCTAAAGCAGACCTATTAGTAGCCGGTTCTAAACCGGCTACTAGCCGGCACTTGAAAAGCGGTCACTAGCCGGCTACTAACCGGCTACTAACCGGCTAGTAACCACCAAGTGGCTACTAACCGGCTACTAACCGGCTACTAATAGGTCTGCTTTAGGGCCGGCTAGTGACCGGTTAGTAGCCGGTTAGTAGCCACTTGGTGGTTACTAGCCGGTTAGTAGCCGGTTAGTAGCCGGCTAGTGACCGCTTTTCAAGTGCCGGCTAGTAGCCGGTTTAGAACCGGCTACTAATAGGTCTGCTTTAGAGCTCGGCTAATAGCCGGCTAGTGACCGCTTAGTAGCCGGTTAGTAGCCACTTTGTGGTCACTAGCCGGCTAGTAGCCGGTTAGTAGCCGGCTAGTGACCACTTTTCAAGTGCCGGTTAGTAGCCGGTTGTTAATGTGAAGTTGAGGAGCTGTTATTACAAAAGTGGCTACTAGCCGGCTAGTAGCCGGCTAGTAGCCGGTGTTCATATGGTACTGTGCAGGGACGTTGCATAGACGTTGCATAGACGTTGCATAGACGTTGCATAGACTGACCGTGCAGGGAGTGTGCATAGAGTGTTCATTGTGCAGGGACGTTGCATAGACGTTGCATAGACGGTTCTTTTGTTGTTGCACGGACGTTGCATAGACGTTGCATAGACTGTCCGGAGCTAAACGACCAAGTTGCCAGACATTTTCGGTAGCCATACATGCATTCAACGTCACGGAGCCAGCACTGTTGATTACATC